CGTGCGCCTCTGCGGACGGGGCGCGGAGAGGGAGCCCCGTTAGCGGTCCCCCGCTCCCTCGTCCATCCTCCCAGGCGCACTCCGAGTCACACGCCGTATCTCTTCGCCGCCCTGGCCTCCACGGTGGCTCCCTGGGAAGCTGAGGGTGCAGTCCCCATCCTCCGTGGGTGCCAACCCCGGGGCGAGCAGGATGCAGAGCCGCGCGCTCCGCCTTAGGCGCTGCCAAGGGCGGCCGGGTAGGGTTTCCTAGGACCCGCCCACCCCGCCTGTCCGGGCCGAAGCTGCCACCCCTTGGATCAGGGGTAGGCGGGGCTCCGCGCGGGGAGGTCACGTGTGGGTCGCCCATTCCTCCCTCCCCTTCACCCCATCCGAGTTCTGGAATGTTAGCGCTCGAGAGATAAAACACGTCCTATTTTACGGATGGGGAAACTGAGGCCCAGGTAAAAAGCGGGCCAGGCTCCCGCGGAGTTTTTACCAGTGAGGGGACTAGAACCCGACTATACTGACTCCCGGACCCTTTCGGCGACAGGACGTGGGGTGCCTCGCAAGACTGGGCACCTCCGTGCCCCAAAGCGAGCAGTGACTGCCAATCCGAGGGGCTGGGCGCTGCCGGGGTCGGGTGTCCCAGGCGCATCGCGCTCTGCTAGTCAGCGCTTCCGAGCGTGTACCCCACCTTTAGTGTCAGCCCCGGCTCCCGGCCCTGCCCCTCACGTTCTGGGCACGCGCACTTGCTGGCGCGGGGCGGGGCCAGCTGGAGTAGGAAGCGTAGGGAGCCGCCTGAGCCCCGCCCCCGGCTGGGCTGGACTCAATGATTGCTCTGTGCACACGTCACTCTGGGAAACGACGGTTTCTCACTGGGTCAGCTGTGGCGCGGCTCCGCCCCACGGCGGAGTAAGGGGTGGGCTATAGGGCCCGATCGCCGCGCTAGGGTGGTGGGCAACGAGGTCCCAGCAGTGGACGAGGGAGGTGCCACCGCCGCCCAGGATGGGCTGGGAATGAAGCGATGTAGCCTTTTAAGTAAGTGTCCTCGCGCTGGCCTCCTCCCGCGCCTCCCCTCCCGCGGGACGGCTGCGCCTTGGAGCGCGGCGGCCGGGCGGGGCCCGGTGAGGGGGGAGGGGCTCCCTGCTCTCCGCAGTCCGCTCCCGGGTCCGCCAGGTGGCCCCGCGCCGCCCTAGACCCCGCGTCCCCAGGTGGGTGCCCGGTCCGCAGCCGGCGCGCCCAGCCCACTCCGCCCCTTGGGTCTGGAGGAGAGGGAGCGGTCGGTGCGGAGAATGCGTTCTCCGAGCCCCGCTGCGTAGACACCGGCGGGTGGGGCCGGGGTCCCGGGTCTGGGGGTTAGGACCTGGTGGGGCGCGGGCGGTCGCCGCGCGGTTTCCCGGCGGCCTAGGGGCTGCTGGAGGGGAGGCGGCGGGTGGGGGTTCTAGCCGCGCGCCCGGCGGTTGTGATTTCCGGGGGTGGGGGGGTGAAGAGGGCGCGGAGTGGGGAATCCCTGGCTGCCGGCCTCTCGCGGGGCGGGGTCTCTGCGTCCCCACAGGTAAAGATTGTTAAAGGAAAACTCTTACGCCCCGAGAGACGTTCTGGATTCTGAGTCTGTTCCGTCTTTTGGTTGAAAATGGACTGCCCAGGAGCGCACGAGCCACTCGGTGCCCCCTTGGCTGCCCCTCGAGGTGCAGGGGACGTAGGCACTCGCGGCCCGTGCTGGGCGAGGGAGCAAGGGACAGGTCTTCGCTGAGGATTTAGAGCATGCAGGGAACGAAGGCTGCTGGCAGTGCTGGAAGGATTGTGAGGCTGCAGAGAGCTCGGATTTTACAAGTTGATGGGTTTCATGGAGAGAGGCTCCTGTTTTAATAATGCACTGTTCCCATTGGCCGAAGAGTAGAGCAGTGGATTTTTTTTTTCTTTTCTTTCTTTTCTTTTTTTTTTCTTTTTGAGACAGAGTCTGGCTCTGTTGGCCAGTCTGGAGTGCAGTGATGCCATCATAGTTCATTTCAGCTTCAAACTCTTGACTCAAGCAATCCTTTCACCTCAGCCTCCTTTGTAAAGCTGGGACTACAGGTACATGCCACTATGCACGGCTAATTTTTAATTTTTGCTTTTTTTTTTTTTTGTAGAGATGGGATCTAGCTCGGTTGCCCAGGCTGGTCTTGAACTCCTGGACTCAAGCCATGGTCTTGTCTTGGCCTCCCAAGGTGTTGGGATTACAGGCACTAGCCACCACGTTTTGCTGAGCAGTAGCTATTATCGTTTAGAGATTAGCCTGGCATGAGGTCTGGTGTTGAGGTGGCCTGAGGGTCCGGTGCACTGAGCCCCAGGGCCTGCTGTCACTCAGGGGTCTGTCCTTTAACTGGGTGAGCAGTAGGCTGGGTGTTTGCTGCCAGGGCTTGGGTACTCCTGGCCTTGACCATTGTGTGGAAGGGGGGTTCTCAGCCACCCACATGCTACATGGGTTTGTTCCCAGGGGAATAGTAGTATTCAGGACAAAATGGGTGGAAAGAGGGAAAACCCTCTTTCCCTTCAGCGGGGAGCTTTGGAGACAGCAGAGGGTGAGGAAGCTGCAAAGGTGGCCAGAGGCCAGACATGCCAGGTCCTGAGCACCTAGCAGAGAAGTTGAGGGCTCACCTGGTGGGGAGTAGGGGGAAGCCTTTGAGGAATCCTGCAGAGCTGGGTGTTGGAAAGATGAGTTTGTTTTGTTGCTGGTGGACAGGTGTGAGTGAAATCCAGGGGACAGATCCAGGAGGCACAGCCCGTAGGCCTTGGAAGAAGGGGGTGCAGGATGAGAGCAGGAGCAGAGATTTCTCCTGACCAGCCATAGGGACAGGAATGCACCTGGGGCTCTGACGTTGGATAGACTTGCATTCCCAACTTACACCCAGCCTTGCCTGGTGACCTGAAATAATCTTGGCCGGCAGCTTCCCTGGGAGGGCAGGCAGAGGTGTCTGCAGATGGCCTGGGGTCAGGGTCTCCATTGTGCCTCTTTGTGGCCGTTAAACTGTGTCTCCCTCACCAAAGCAGCTGCTAGGTCTTTGTTAGTGATGTTTCTGTGTCCCGGTTAGGGTTTCTGTGGCATCTGCCCTGCTGGGGCTCTTCCTGTCTGTCATTTGCCGGCACTAGGCTGGTGTCCAATGACTCCATCCTCTCATAGAGGAGTGGAGGAACGTGACCATGTCATGATAGGTACCAGTCCTAGAAAGGATTCAGTCCAGAAGGATCCAGACTCGATTTGTCCTGGGGTTGATTTTCCATCTGAGGAACACTGAGAAGTGGCTCTAGAGCTCCTGCCCATCTGCCCAAGATACTGGTGGAGGGTGCATGGTGGTTCTCCCTGCGGTCCGGGAATAGGGCGATGCAGTGGCATTTAGAGGGGCTGTTGTGCTCCTCCAGACTTTTCTGCTCTCTGCATGGTCCCGCCCTGGTTCCGGTCCTGGCTTCTCTCTAACCCTGCACATTCCAGCTATCACTGTGTTGGGCTGGCACTGAGCGTTCTGATTGTTTTGGGCTTTTTGCCTTTGTGCCTGCTTGGCTGTGACCTGGGGCTAGCCCCTCCCCTACCCTGGATATGGACAGTGGAGTTCCAGCTCTTATGAGGAATGACCTCTCCCTGGGAGCTCCGGCTTCCTCTTAATGCGCCACTATCGTTTTGTTCAAGTGGGTGAGCAGTTACTCCATGTCTGCAGGGAGGCAGGTGCAGGGCTGGGTGCTTTAATGAGAAGCTTGGAGAAGAATATGGACAGGATCTCTAAATGTTATAGGTCACAAGGACACAAGTGACTGTAACAGCATTTATTACATCACCACATTGTTTCCATTGGTATGAAAAGTAGATGAATAGAAAGTTTGCGTTTTTCGCCTTTTCGTTCTGAATCATAAATTGGACCAAATGGAGAATACCGCTCATCAGTTGGGAAGCGTTCCTGGTCAGAGTGTTTGGTTAGAGCCCTGGAAGGGCAGGAACAGCCATCGCAGGGAGATTTCAGCAGGGAGTGCATCTCTGAGGAGGCTGAATTCCCCGTGCTGAATTCTGCTGAGCTGGGCTGCACGCTGTCACCAGACGGTTCCTGACCACCCAGACTTATCTGGGCTCGCAGGACGGTTGAAGACCACAAAACCACGAGTGTGCGCACTGCCGCCTGAAATACTAGTTTGAGGCCTCACATGGCTCTGCTGTTCGTAGAATAACTGCAGATAACTCACATTTAGGGGTATTTGGTATCTCCAGCTAACTCAACTGGATTTTCTGTACATTTTCCCATCATTTGAGCCCAAGCAGGGATGGAATTTTTTTAAAAGAAGTTTTATAAGAAGATTCACTTATCTTTCCAGTTTTACAAGAAAAAGTCCGTTTTCTTTGCATGTTATTTTAAATAGCAAAGTAATTCTTTTTTTTTTTTTTTTTAAGACAGGGTCTCACTCTGCGGCCCAGGTTGGAGTGCAGTGGCCCAATCTCAGCTCACTGCAACCTCCGCCTTCTGGGTTCAAGAGATTCTCGTGCCTCAGCTTCCCAAGTAGCTGGGATTATAGGCGTGGGCCACCACACCCAACTGATTGTATTTTTAGTAGAGACAGCGTTTCACCATGTTAGCCAGGCTGGTCTCAAACTCCTGACCTCAAGTGATCCACCCGCCTTGGCCTCCCAAAGAGCTGGGATTACACGTGTGAGCCACTGTGCCCAGCCAGCAAACGAATTGTTGCAGGTAAACTTGACAGGGTGTAAAACTGTTCTTTTAAGCATTTTACCCTATATAATAATTCAACTCTGGCATTAAGCACCAGATTGTATGAGGTTATTACCTTTTTTTTTTTTTTTTTTTTGAGACAGGGTCTTGCCCTGTCGCCTAGGCTAGAGTGCAGTGGTACAATCATAACTCATTGCAGCCTTGACCTCTTGGGCTCAAGTGATCCTCCTGCCTCAGCCTCCCCTGGCTGGGTGTGTGCCACCATACCCAGCTAATTTTTTGATTTTCCTGTAGAGACGGGGTCTCACTTTGTTACGCAGGCTGGTTTTGAACTCCTGGGCTCAATCATCTGTCAGCCTCAGCCTCCCAAAGTGCTGGGATTACAGGTGTGAGCCACTGCACCTGGCATATTACAGGTTTTTGTTTTTTTTTTTGAAATGGAATCTCACTCTGGAGTGCAATGGCATGATCTTGGCTCACTGCAACCTCCGCCTCCCAGTCTCAAGTGATTCTTCTGCCTCAGCCTCCCTAGTAGCTGGGATTATAGGCGCCCATGCCTGGCTAATTTTTTTATTTTTAGTAGAGACGGGGTTTCACCGTGTTGGCCAGGCTGATCTTGAACTCCGTCTCAGGTGATCAGCCTACCTCAGCCTTCCAAGGTGCTGGGATTACAGATGATAGCCACTGTGCCCGGCCCTTTTTTTAAATTTAAATTTAATTTTTTTATTTTTTATTGAGACAGAGTCTCCCTCTGTTGCCCAGGCTGGAGTGCAGTGTCATGATCTCGGCTCTCTGCAAGCGCCACCTCCTGGGTTGAAGTGATTCTTATGCTTTAGCTTCCTGAGTAGCTGGGATTACAGGGGTTTGCCACCATGCCTGGCTAATTTTTGTATTTTTAGTAGAGACAGGGTTTTGCCATGTTGGCCAGGCTGGTCTCAAACTCCTGACCTCAGGTGATCCGCCTG